TATTTTTTCTTGAATCTAAGGGGAACATGGCTTGAAACTTAAAAGTTATTGAACATGAAATTATTGTGGGCAGATATAATAAAAAATATTTATTAAATTTAGCTTAATAATTATATTATGTGGGTGTTATATTTGGTTTTTTTTTTTTTTTTTAAAAATCCAATTCAAAAAATGAATAACATAATTGTAACTTGTGAATAGTGATTCATTTAACTTTCTATGAAAATGTAATAGGTTGTAATTAGATGGTTCAAAATACCGTTGAGTATCATTTTAGTTTCCACCACATGTGTTTGTCTTTTGGGATTTAACAAAGGAAACTCTAACTTATATCAGCTTTACATTTTTGAACCTCTTTGCTTTCTTTCTTAGGCTTTATTATTATTATTTATTAGAATAAGGGTGCATTTGGTTTCAAATATTTACATACCAGTCAATCTGTTAATCCTTTTTGCATATTGTTAATGGATACAAATTGAAACTGTCATTTTGAGATAAAAATGAGAGAAAATAGTCTATGTATATATTAATACTATTTTGGTAGATGATGATCATTTAGAAAAAAACACTAGACAAAACATTAAAATTTTAAAGTAAAACATATGAATAAATCATATAGATGTATAAATTTTCCTGTAATATACAAAACAAATTAACAAAAATATGAAAAACAAATCCAATATTTTACATACAAGAAAATTGAAAAAAAAAAATTGACGCACGGACATTGAATATGCCATTCAGACTTGAGTATGACACTTACACTTGAGTTGGAGTAACATATTCTAGTAGCATTAAGTTTTTAACTTTTACCTTAACAAACTTCAGAAGCTAAGACCACATATTTTAAAAGATTGCTTTATTTAGTTAGGCCTGATTAAAATCATCAACAAACATTTCAATAAGTGAACAAAAGCCTTTTTTTATTTTTCGAATATTATTATAGAAATAGCCATATAAATAGGTGCGGAAATGACATAAAGTTGAAGGCTTTAATTTCAAATTTTGAAGATAGGATTCTTTGAAATTTTACATAGAATAACAAAAATACAAACATAATACAAAATAATTAAGGTAGTCCAATAACAATCAAGATTTATTTTAATACTAATGGTGTTTCTAGCACATTATATATTATTAATATTGTCACAACTTCAGTTACGTTTAATAAGCAAGAAAAGTTGGGTTAATTACACATGTGGGAAGACCAAATGTAGAGCATCGACATTTTGATCATTGCAATAAAGGTGAGGGTACTGCTTAAATCCATATTCCATTAAAACCTTCCTAGCTTTCATCACAAGCTATCTATTGCTTAATGCATCCTTGTTATGGTTGAGTATCTGTAGCACTGCATACATAGGTAAATGCCCTATGTGCCTTTGCCCCATTGGCCACATCAGTTGATGTCTCATTCACTTGGCACCCATAAAACCCGAATACAAAAATAACTAAAAATAAAGACCGATGAAATAGATAAATAAATAGTACGACTGACACAAGGATAATATATGTAATCTTTTAACACCAAAGCTTTTTTATAATATTGTTTTTGAATGAAAAAATACTGAATTTACCTAAGATGAATAATGAAAATTTGACTACAATAGAAGAAAATTTTGATGCATTAATGGAAGCGATGTTGAAATTTCAAAGTATAAATGAATATGCAATAAGATTTCAAAATACAATAGATGAATTTCCAAAAACCTTAAAATAAAAAAGGAAAAAGTTGAAGTCCCTAAAGAAACAAAACATAAAAGAAAGAAGATACTGAGAAAAAATTATAAAAAAATAATAAAAAGAAGAAGAACCCTAGCAATTTTAAAATACCTTTTATTTTATTTAATAAATAATATTTAATGTTAACTAATTAAAATTAGGTTGATTAACAAGTAATTAATTATTTTTACAATTAAAAAATAATCAATGGTTTATATTAATTTTTATATATCTAATAGTTATTATTCAATAACCTTATAATAAGATCAAAAAATTTAAACTTATTGTAGAAGCCCCCACATAGTTTTTGATAAGAATAGATGTAATGAAATTAAATTGATGCATATTTAAATTAAAAAGGAAAATAGGTCTCAATTTTTTTTTTATACTTAAAAAATGTCAATATTAAATCGTGATTATTAAAATTAAAATTTTATTATTTTATTAACAAATCACGTGATTATTGATTATTTTTAATCTTATTAGATAATAAGATTTTTTATTTTTTTTAAAAAAATTAAATCATGCTTTTTGAATAAAAAGATAATACATAAATTATTTGAATCAAATACTCAATTGCACAATCAATAAGAATTTATTATGATTATTCTTTTTATTTTTAAGCACATTTTTGGTTTCCTCTCCCACATACAACTTGTCATAAATGGATTATTTGTCTAACCTGTGGATTTAATTCGAATTGAGTTGGATTTTGAACAAAATTGTTGAATTCAAACTCGATTTAAAATATTATATTATTAATAAAACATATTTTTAATTTAATTTTAAATTAAAATATGTAAATTATTAAAATTATTTCAATACATATTTTTAAAAAAATTTGAATCTCTTAAATTCGACCGGCCAAATTGGAACATTGGAATAATGCCTTTAAAGTTGATCAAATTCAATACGGGTCCAATTTATACATCTAACACATGTCATAATGTATAGATCTGTGGACCTATCGTTAGACATGATTAAAAGAGTTATCATAATTTTTTTGTTTAGGTATAATTAGTACCTAACAAAATATGTCTTATTTAAATACTGAGTCACAATATTGACTTAGATATCTTTAAATAGTAAATTTTAATCCACAAAATTAGATTTTAAGTTCAGAAGTGTAGTTACGCGTAATGTTATAGCACCCCCTCAAAGCACCAATCAATGGATGGTATCAGTTAATTTCAAATTATACAAGTTTTAAAATATTCTTATAATTTTACCAAATCGTTTTATTATTGAAAACTAATCCTAAATTTACTTCAATAGTTTGGTAGTAATTTAAGATAATTTCTTACTTAAGACTATTCATGGAGACTAGTATCCACTCTGAAGAGGTTTCGTCGTCGGGTTCATTAATATATTTTATTCAAGAAAATAATTAGTAAAATCTTTTAATAGTTTGGTAAGATTTACTTTGATGTAGATCTTTCAATAGTTTAGTGAGATTTTCTTGTAAATTTATTTTTAAAAAATGTATTAAATCTTTCAATAGTTTGAAAAGATTCATAAATTTATTTTAAAAACATTTTTTTGTTATTATTTTTAAATAAATAAATCAAATCAAATCAAAGTCATAAAGTTATTTTTAAAAAATAAATAATAAATTTTTAATTTAAAGTAATGAGTAAAATAATAATTAAAGATGAAAATAATAATAACAAGTAAAAATAAAAAATCTAAAAATAAAATGAAAATAAAATAGAAAAAATAAAAAAATAAAATCAAAAACAAAAATAGGATGAAAAAAAAAAAAACATGCGATCAAGTCAGACTTGAAGTGCAATCTTTACGCAAGCCGCCAGGTTCAAGCAAAAACTTCAAACTTCAACTGAAAAGTTTATCCTAAATCCATAAAAGTTTTCAGATTCTTGAAAACCTAATAAAAATCCTAGAATTAAAAGCTAACAAAAAACCCAGTAAAAATCTTAGAAACTCAATAGAAATTGGAATCAAACTCAAAAATTAAAACCCGAATTCAAGAACTCGAAAATCAAATCAAATTCAAAATGAAATAAAATCACAGAATCCAAAAAAGAAAATTTCAGAATTTACTTGAATGATTCCTTCCAAAAACAAAAAAACTAAGATCTCTAGAATTTTTCTTTTTTTTTCCCTCTTTTTGTGTGTGGTTGATTGGTGTTAATATATGGCCTTTTGTTAGGAATTTTAAGGATTGTGTTGAATGAAAAAGATTGCAGATCTGATTATGCTTTGAATTGATTTTTTTTT